AGAGAGAGAGAGAGAGAGAGAGAGAGAGAGAGAGAGAGAGAGAGAGAGACACACACACAGAGATCCACAGAGAGAGGGGGATGATCGTTTTAATAATAAAATCATTTGATATGGTCACATTCTAGATGGATGGAGGATGATGCCACAGTGGCCTGCAAGCAGCTGGGATTTAAAGAGGGTCAGTTCTACCGCTGGTTTCCGCAGCGAAACAGCACACGACAGCTGCAGTACATCAACCCCAACTGCACCGGCGACGAGAAGAACCTCGTGGATTGCTCACTGTGGGATGAGATGACCTTTGGCTACGAGGTTTGCGGTAAGTTTCTTAATTCAACGCAATTTTAATTAGCGCATGCTCGCTCTCACACACGCGCAAGCACGCACGCGCACGCCTACGTGCGCACGAATTAAGCCAGACTTTCAACCGAATGGCGTCGTAAATAACTGAATGAATGAATAGAATAATGATCGGCTCAAGGACAATAAAGGGTCAATGGACCGGCGACCGGCCAGCTGGGCCTACGGTATGTCTACGATGTATGAGAAACGGATTAAGTCTCTGCAACCACGTTAAGTCACGCTGATGCTGCCGCTGTGCACACAGCCTACATACTTGTCAGATCCGTATATAGGAATTCGAACGACTAGAAAAATAGTATGATTACTGCTACAAATGTGTACATCACAAGATCCACTCGTGAGTAATTCCAGCACAAGTTGTGAGCAACAAGTCGTTATCTTGACTATAATAATAATAATATAAGTAATCAAGTATATAAAGTAATCAAGTAATATAACAAGTAATCATATAACTACTTTGGTAAATAAAAAAGCTAACAATTAATAACAGGGGTTAACGAAATTGCGCCTATAAAATATTTTAAATGTTTGCATCGGCAAATTCATTGTATGAGTCGCTGTGCAATCCGAGAGTATATGGGTAAGAAAATAATTAAGAAAGATAATATGGGTAAAAGAACAACGTAAGAAGAAAAGAAGGGAAAATGATAAGATATGCAAGATATATGAGATTGGATGTGAAAAAAACAAGAGTAAGCATGTGTTATGACCAAGGAAAGGCTGTGGAAATAAATGGAAGGGCGAGAATAGATGGAAAAAGAATGTTGATATAACAGCTATATAAACTAAAAGAGAGTGACATAATTAACAAGCCTTTACAATTGTACCTTATCAAAGTTTTCCACAAATTCCACAAATCAGAACGCTAAAACAAGTCTATATTAAATATATACTTTTTTCCATTTCCGATCCATTCTCATTTCATTTGTCTCATTTTCCTTCTATGGCATTTCTCCGTCCACCCCTTGCCTTCTCTCTCTCTCTCTCCCATTGCATAAAGAATTGTTTCATGTGTAGAACCAATGCTACTTATAATACAACGCAAAAAAACGTGATTCATAACTACCGCACAGTAGCAATAATCTCTGATGAAATAGAGAACGATGCAAACTGGCATGCGCAGTTATCATACCGCCAAGCCCTCGCGAATGACGAGCAGTTATTGATTTTTCTTACCTGCGCGCATGCGTAGACGTCTGTATCATCAGCGCGCTCGACCATATCCTGCTTGAACACATAATTCTTAAGGTAAAAACGACCTTTGACCTCCATGTTTGTGCCATCCTACTAATAGGTGCCTAGCTGAACTAGCACACCTGGTTTTATAATGCGGTTGCAATGCTATCACGCGATATTAGAGCGCTGTTAAGACAGTTTTACGCATGCCATCTTTACAGGCACTCAGCCATTAATCCATTAGCGTAGCACAGACGCGCGCGCGCGCGCGCGTGCGTGTGTGTGTGTGTGTGTGTGTGTGTGTGTGTGTGTGTGTGTGTTGTGTGTGTGTTGTGTGTGTGTGTGTGTGTGTGTGTGTGTGTGTGTGTGTGTGTGTGTGTGTGTGTGTGTGTGTGTGTGTGTGTATGTTCGTGCGTGCGTGCGTGT